CAGTGTTTTTGGATTGGAAGAATCAACATTGTGAAAATGACTATACTACCCAAAGCAATCTACAGATTCAATGAAATCCTTATCAAACTACCAATGGCATTTTTCACAGAACTCGAACAAAAAATTCCACAATTTGTATGGAAACACAAAAGACCCCGAATAACCAAAGCAATCTTGAGAAAGAAAAACAGAACTGGAGCAATCAGGCTCCCGGCTTCAGACTATACTACAAAACTACATTTATCAGTAAAGTATGGTACTGGCACAAAAACAGAAATATAGATCAAGGGAACAGGGTAGGAAACCCAGAGATAAACCCACGCACATATGGTCACCTTGGTTTTGATAAAGGAGGCAAGAATATACAATGGAGAAAAGACAGCACCTTCAATAAGTGGCTGGGAAACCCGGACAGCTACACGTAAAAGAATGAAATTAGAACACTCCCTAACACCATACACAAAAATAAACTCAAAATGGATTAAAGACCTAAATGTAAGGCCAGACACTATCAAACTCTTAGAGGAAAACATAGGCAGAACACTCTATGACATAAATCACAGTAAGATCCTTTTTGACCCACCTCCTAGAGAAATGGAAATAAAAACAAAAATAAACAAATGGGACCTAATGAAACTTAAAAGCTTTTGCACAGCAAAGGAAACCATAAACAAGATGAAAAGGCAACTCTCAGAATGGGAGAAAACATTTGCAAATGAAGCAACTGACAAAGGATTAATCTCCAAAATATACAAGCAGCTCATGAAGCTCAATATCAAAAGAACAAACAACCCAATCCAGAAATGGGCAGAAGACCTAAACAGACATTTCTCCAAAGAAGATATACAGATTGCCAACAAACACATGAAAGAATGCTCAAAATCATTAATCATTAGAGAAATGCAAATCAAAACTACAATGTGATATCATCTCACACCAGTAGAATGGCCATCATCAAAAAGTCTACAAACAATAAATGCTGGAGAGGGTGTGCAGAAAAGAGAACCCTCATACACTGTTGGTGGGAATGTAAATTGATACAGCCACTATGGATAACAGTATGGAGGTTCCTTAAAAAACTAAAAATAGAACTACCGTACGACCCAGCAATCCCACTACTGGGCATATACCCTGAGAAAACCATAATTCAAAAAGGGTCATGTACCACAATGTTCATTGCAGCTCTATTTACAATAGCCAGGACATGGAAGCAACCTAAGTGTCCATCAACAGATGAATGGATAAGGAAGATATGGCACATGTATACAATGGAATATTACTCAGCCATAAAAAGAAACGAAATTGAGTTATTTGCAGTGAGGTGGATGGACCTAGAGTCTGTCGTACAGAGTGAAGTAAGTCAGAAAGAAAAAAACAAATACCGTATGCTAACACATATATACGGAGTCTAAAAAAAAAAAAGTCATGAAGAAGCTAGAGGCAAGATGGGAATAAAGACACAGACCTACTAGAGAATGTACTTGAGGACACAGGGAAGGCAAAGGGTAAGCTGGGACAAAGTGAGAGAGTGGTAGTGTATATATGGACATATATACACTACCAAATGTAAAATAGATAGTGGGAAGCAGCCGCATAGCACAGGGAGATCAGCTTGGTGCTTTGTGACCAGCTAGAAGGGTGGGATAGGGAGGGTGGGAGAGAGGGAGACATGAGAGGGAAGAGATATGGGGATATATGTATATGTATAACTGATTTACTTTGTTATAAAGCAAAAACTAGCCCACCATTGTAAAGCAATTATACTCCAGTAAAAATGTTAAAAAGAAATGTGGCACATATATTCAATGGAATATTACTCAGCCTTAAAAAGAAATGAAATTAAGTTATTTGTAGTGAGGTGGATGGACCTAGAGTCTGTCATACAGTGTGAAGTAAGCCAGAAAGAGAAAAACAAATACTGTATGCTAACACATATATATGGAATCTAAAGAGAAAAAAATGATTCTGAAGAACCCAGGGGCAGGACAGGAATAAAGACACAGATGTAGAGAATGGACTTGAGGACACAGGGAGTGGGAAGGGTAAGCTAGGACGAAGTGAGAGGGTGACATGGACATATATTTTGGTGTTTTGAACACAAAGAGCTGTCCCTGGTGTTACGTGTGGAATTACTGGGTCAGATATGAAATTGCTGCTTTTGTAAAATCCTTGATACATATCTCCAAATTTCTCTCCAAACTGGCTGTACAAACGTACTTGGCCATCAGAAACATTTAAGATGTTTCTGCTCCTCATATATTGGACATATGTTTGAGCCCCTACTGTGTGCCATGAGCTGTTCTAGGCTCCTGGGACACAGTCCGGAACAACACGGCCTCAAGTCTCTGCCCTCATAGAGCTGATATTCTAACTGGGAAAAATAGACAATAAACAAATAATTATTTAATATGGCAGATGAGGTATAGAATCATGAAGGAGGGCATAGTGGTAAAGGTGGGGTAGGGTACAGAGAGAATAATCAGGGATCCTCCTTGATAAGGTAACATTCAAGAAGAAACTTGAAGGAAGTGAGGAAGGGAGCCATCAAAAATCTCTGGGAAGGGGCTTCCCTGGTGGCACAGTGGTTGAGAGTCCGCCTGCCGATGCAGGGGACATGGGTTCGTGCCCCGGTCCGGGAAGATCCCACATGCCGCGGAGCGGCTGGGCCCGTGAGCCATGGCCGCTGAGCCTGCGCGTCCAGAGCCTGCGCTCTGCGGCGGGGGGGGCCACAACAGGGAGAGGGCCCAGTACCGCCCAAAAAAAAAAAAAAAAAAAAATCTCTGGGAAGGGATTTCCCTGGTGGTCCAATGGGTAAGACTCGGAGATTCCAATGCAGTGGGCCCGGGTTCAATCACTGGTCAGGGTACTAGATGGCATGCATGCTGCAACTAAGAAGCCCACATGCCATAACTAAAAAAAAAAGAAAATAAGTTCCCGTATGCAGCAACTAAGACCCGGAGCTGAATGAATGAATGAATAAGTAAATAAATAAATATTTTAAAAAACAAAGAAGCAGGCGTGACCTTCCTCCAACCCTCCAACCGTAATCTGGGATTACTCTTACCTAAGCCTGGGGATAGAGCTAAGGCCGGCTAAGAATGTGGAGGTTTAAGAGCAGCACCACGGTCCCCCAGACGTACTTACCCAGAGCTCAGTCCCCATTATATCCCATCACACCACACAGAGTGGGAAGGGGGCTGTTCACAACTGCTGGAGCTTGGTTCCAAAGCCCATACACGGGACTCAGCACAGATGCTTATTAAAAAAAAAAAAAAAAATCTATGGGATGGCTAAGGCAACAGCAAGCGCAAAGGTCCTGAGGCAGGCACATGCTTCATGTATTCAGATAAGTAGGTGAGGGTAGATTGTTCAGCGTCTTGTGGATTGCACTGAAGACTTTGGCTTTTATGCTGATGGAGGTGGGAGCTATGGAGGGTTCTGAGCAGAGGAGGGACATGCCATGAATCAGGCATTCACCTCTCACTCTGGCCAGGAAAGCAGAGGGAGAGGAAAGCAGAAACTAGAGACTAGGGAAGGGCAACTGCACTGCAGCTGGGAAATGATGGGAACTGTGACCAGGTGTGTGCCATGGAGAGTCATTTCTGCATTTATAGTGAAGGCAAAGCAGACAGGTGTTGCTTATGGTTTAGACGTAGGGGATGAGCAAAGGAGAGAAGTCAAGGACGCCTCAGGGATTTTAACATGAGCAGTCTAAGGACAGAGCTGCCCTCAACTAAGATGGAGAAGACTGAAGGGAGGGGTAGTGTTGGGAGGGATGAAACAATTCACACTGACTTGCCACATCCCCCTTGAATTACAGAATTACCCCCACAGCAGCATTCATAAAGAATGAAAATGCAAACATCTATTAATAATTATTTGCAAATGTTGCATATTAGGTAGTTTAGTTAAACCCTGCTCTCTGGGAATTTTGCCAGAAAAATCCCAAACTAAGCTTCTTTAGTTATCAAAACCAATAAAGTGCCATCAGAGAGATTATGGAGAAAGGCAAAATCTCTGCCTCGTGTGAGAATCTTTTTAATCTAATATTATCAGGACTTCCCTGGCGCTCCAGTGGTTAAGACTCCGCGCTTCCACTGCAGGGGGCACAGATTCCATCCTTGGTCAGGGAACTAAGATCCCGCATGCCACACAGTGCGGCCAAAAGGAAAAAAAAAAAAGAAATCTAACATTATCAGTCCTTCATCTACTCTTCTGTAAAACCACAGATCATCTGAATATAAAGATAAACATAACGGAACTGAAGAATTGGAGGCAAGAAAATAAAGTAATTGTGGGGAATGGATATTTGACAATTTAAGGAGAGACTGGATTAGGACACCTCAATCTAGAGGGAGAAAAACAAAACAACCTCCCCCAACTGGCAGCCCTACTCCTTCCCTCTTATCCTCTGCCGACACTGGATTAGAGTCCCCAGGCCTATTTTCCTTACTGTTTGTGTAACCTTTATAGAGTAATGGTCTTGCCATATTCTAGCTTGTTTATTTATTCAAGTGTCCACTATGTTCCAGGCACTGTAATAGACACCTGAGATAAAAGTGTTTCGGACACAGCCAGTTGCCCACCCATTATCCACTCTTCTCTAGCTTTCAGAATCCAGCAATAAAACAGAACTACATTTCTTAGACTCCCTTGCAGGGAGGTATGGCCATGTGAACAATGCTATTCAATGAAACATATGGGCATTTGGTCTCAAGTGTCCTTTGTCCTTTGACCTTTCTCCTGCCTGCAATGCAAATGTGATGTCTGGGGCTGCAGCAGCCATTCTGAGGCTGATCATGAGAGAAAGCGAAGAGGACCTCATCCATGACATCCTTGGGCCACTTTTTATGTAAAGCCAAATAAAATTCTTGACTGATACATACAGACGGTCTGAACAAGCTGTATTTTTACCTGTTTCTCTGCATAAGTCTCCTTGAGTTCAGAAACTAGTTTTACTTAGCTTTGTGAGCCCTCAAGAAATGTTAAATGAAGGGACTTCCCTGGTGGTCCAGTGGTTAAGACTCTGCATTTTCACTGCAGGGGCACGGGTTCGATTCCTGGTCGGGGAGCTCCCGCATGCCACACAGAGTGCAGCCAAAAAAAAAAAGTGTTGAATGAATTAGCAAGTGAGCAAGGCAGCTCTACTTTTACAACTGAAAGACAACGGGCCAGAGTCTGAATGACAAAATGTCCATGGGGGCCATCTGAGAACCTTCCCTACCCCAGGTTTCCACCAAGAACTCCTGAAGCCTTGGAAAACCTCATCTGTGAAATGGGAATAATAACAGTATCTATTGATGGGCTTTCTGTGAGGGTCAAATTAGTCATGACAGCCAAAAGATCGAGAATGGTAACCGGTCTATTGTAAGTGCTACTTAAATGTTGCCATTGCTATTATTATTTCTTGACAGCTCTAGCAAAAATAGATCTGACCTCCCATACCCCCACCCCACCATTGCTCTACCTTGTTGGTTTGCCTCATAGTCCTCTGCACAACTATTTTTTGATTTATTTATTTCATAAGCATCTCCACCTGAGAAGGGCATTCTTCATTTGCCCACCCTACCCATGCCAGACCCATTCTCTGCTCTTTTCTACTCTGAGCATCACCTAGTTTCCAGGCCCTCTGGGTTCCTGTTGCTTTCAGCCAACAGGAGGCACCAGCAGGAACTCAGAGCAGGAGAGGAGACACAGGATGGAGTGTTTCTTCCCCATTCCCTCTCTGCTTTGGTGCCACATCTCTGGTCAGTGGCTGGGTCCCTCCACGATGATGGCTCCTACCAGGCATCTCCTCCTCCATGATTCCAATTCTTAATGGCTCTAGCATTGCCATTTCTTCAACTCAAGGGTGGTAATGGCTCTCTGCTATTGATAGCAACTGGGTGCCTCCCACCCCTTGTGGGTTCCCTTAACTCTGTCCACACCTCTTCAAGGAAATTCCTCCTTAAGGCTTCTACACTTGAACTATGGATGGTGGGGAGGTGGGGAAGTTAATTCTGCTTCCTCACTGGACCCTGAGAGAGACCCCCACCAGATGGTAAATTCCATGAAAGCATGGAACACACATCTGCTTTACTCACCAATCCTCCAGACACAGCACACAGCCAGGCATGGAGAAGATGTTTAATAAACATTTGTGGAATAACTAACCTCACTTTGCATCAAACAAATCAAAATTAGAAAATAATGAGGCGATATCATTTTTGTCTATTAAATTAAAAAAATATTTTAAGATGTTAATCCAGTTGACCCTTGAACAACAGGGGGCGGGGTGGTTGGGGGCACTGACCTCCAGAACTCAAAAAATCCCTGTATGACTTTATAGTCTGCACTGGGTATTCGCAGTTCCAAGTTCACAGATTCAACTAACCCTGGGTCCTGTAGTACATATTCATTGAAAAAATCCTCATATAAGTGGACCCCTGCAGTTCAAACCTGTGCTGTTCAGGGGTCCACTGGTCCCCTGAGTGCTGGTCAGTGTGCACTCACATTGGTAGATTCAGACATCGTTGGTAGACGTGTAAATTTAGAGAATTTACAATGGCTTTTAGAGAAGCCTTTTCGCCATATGTATCAAAAATCATTAAAATGGGTCCTATTTTTCTGACCAAGTAAAACTGCTCCTAGAAATCTACACAAAGGAAATAATCCAAAAGAAGGGAAAGGTATATAAAGGTTTTATTGTAGCATTTTTTATAATGTCAAAACATGCCCCTAAATAGCAGAATTGTTAAGTATAAGGAAAAGAACCTTATGTAGCCATTAAAATGATAGTATGAAAATTTAGTATTGTCCCAATTATGGGTGATTTTTCCCTTCTGTTTTCTGTACTTTTAACAAAACAAAAATTAATTTCCAATAAATAATAAAAATGATGTTATCAGGAAAAAAATTTAAATCGTTTATGTCAAAAACCCTTTTATTACTCCCAGATTAGTTTTTTTCTCATCCTCAGATTTTCTTTGTACCTCACATGCTGGTAGCCTGTGGCAGAGAGAAGATTTCCTCTCCAATCACAGACTGATCTACTTTACTAAAAGTTTCTTCACTGGTTTGATCATTCAACAAGAACCAAATACTACATGCTGGGTACAAGGCAGTGAACAAGACTAATAAGAACGTTTCCTCAGGGAGGTGACATTCTGAAGAGAAGAAAAGCATAAACAAGATAAATAAGTAAAATTTATAGTATGTTAGATGGTGACAATTTCTTAGGATAAAGATAAAACAGACAACCCATTTATTTGAGGTTCAAAACAGGCACAATTAATCTATGGTAATGGAATAAATGGTGGAGTATCCATGCAGCAGAATATTACACAGCAATGAAAACGAACAGACTGCTGCTCCATACCACACCAGGCAAACCCAATCCACGGTGACGAGAATCAGAGCAGCAGTTGCCTCAGGGGTGGGGGTACTGGCCTGGGAAGGAATGAGAGGGAACTCCTGGGGGGGGATGGAAAAGTTATTTATCTTGAATTAAACGATGGTCACACAAGTGTCCACACATAAAAAAATGTATGGAGTCATACACTTAAGATTTGTGAATTTTACATGTATACAATGGAATATTGCTCAGCTGTAAAAAAGAATGAAATAATGCCACCTGTAGCAGCATGGATGGACCTAGAGATTATCATACTAAGCAAGCCAGACAGAGAAAGACAAATATCATATGATATCACTTATATGTGGAATCTAAAAAAATGATACAAGTGAACTTATTTACAAAACAGAAATATACCCACAGACATAGAAAACAAGAAAACAAACTTATGGTTACCAAAGGGGAAGGTGGGGGAGGGATAAATTAGGAGTTTGGGGTTAACTGATACACACTGTAGTATATAAAATAGATAAACAACAGGGACCTATTCTACAGCATGAGGAACACTACTCAATATTTTGTAATAACCTGTAAGGGAAAAGAATCTGAAAAACAACATATATATGTATAACTGAATCACTTTGCTGTACCTGAAACTAACACAACAGTGTTAATCAACTATACTCCAATTAAAAAAAAATATTTGTGGGCCTTGGTGTGTGGTAGCCCAGTTTTTAAAAAATTAAAAAAGGAAAAGAGGAAAACAAGACATAACAGAGGAACAGAGCAGAGACTGGGAAAAGTTGGTGGTGTAAAGTAGTTGCAACTTTACAAAGGTGGGTGGGGTCGGAGAAGGTGACTTTGAATTGAGATCTGAAGGAGGTGAGGGCACGAGCCAAGCAGCGGGCAGGAATAAATCACAAGAATAAGAAAATTGTAAGAAAGGAATGTTAATAATTAGGAATTAGCATCTGTGCATCGATTCATGAATAAACTTTTTTTGAGCACCTGCTCTGTGCTAGGGATGCATTAGGAGCCAAACTGGACATAGCTCTTATGTTCATATTCATCAAATAATCACATCAATAAGAGGTAAGCGATGATGTTGACAAGGGTAATGAAAGAAAGGCACACGATACAAGCAAGGTATATCACAGGAGGTATAGGAGAGAGATGAAGATGCAGAAAGAGAGAGATAGAGAAACAGAGAAATATACAGAGAGAGGCAGAGAGAGAAACAACGAAAAAGAGGGAGGATGGAAGAGAGAATGGGGGAGAGAGAGAAACAGAGACACAGAGACACAGAGAGGTGTCAGTAAGGTGAATTATATTTGGGGCTTTCTGAATGCTCTTTTCCACAGCTGAATAATAACAGTAATAGCTTAGTAATTAGTATACAACTGCTCAGTCTCTCTCTTGCCTGGGGCTGGCAAAGAAAATAACCAATTGTACTGGAGAAAGGACCAAGGACTTAAGGAGACATTTGAAAGGAAAATCAGCCTAGAAGCTATGCATTGGGAAAAAAAAAAAAAAAAAAGTCCGAAGGTTCTGCCAAAATAGAGACCCCGGGGTCAGGAAGGAAGGTGGGTATAAAAAAAAGCGGGGGAAGGGGGTATTTCTAAAGTAGGTTCTGATGTTCAATGAGATCTTGGTAGGATGAAACAGGAAGACTTGACTCTTAAGTGCTATCCAACACCAACAAGGACCTACTCTATAGCACAGGGAACTATACTCAATATCTTGTAATAGCCTATAATGGAAAAGAATCTGAAAAAGAATAGATATACTTACCTATGTGTAACTGAGTCACTTTGCTGTACACCTGAAACTAATGCAACAATGGTAAATCAACTATATTTCAATTTTTTAAAGAAGTGCTATCCACCTTCACAGATGATGTTCCTGACCCTATACCACCAAAGGTATACCCTGGGTGTGTACGCATTTTCCTCCAAATTTGGTAAATCATGGAGATGGATTTTTACTTATCCAACCACCCTCTCTTGCTAGTCCCATTTGTGGCAGAGAAAATGCTACTATCTGCCGAATCCTATTTCCTTTTTCTCCTGGGCATACAACAGGATATGTGTGCCAGCTTTCCCTGCAGTTTGTTAGGGCTCTGGAAATGCATTCTGGCCAATGATATTTAAGCAGAAATGATGGGAACCACTCCTAAGCCTGGTCCCTAAAAAACGTCTAGCACAATCCCCCAGGTTCTCTCTCTTTCCTCATCTGCCAGCCATATTCAGAAGCACCACCTGAGAACTCAAAAGCCCTACCTAGACATGGGGAGGGGGAAGGGTAAGCTGGGACAAAGTGAGAGAGTGGCATGGACATATACACACTACAAAATGTAAAACCGATAGCTAGTGAGAAGCAGCCGCATAGCACAGGGAGATCTGCTCGGTGCTTTGTGACCACCTAGAAGGGTGGGATAGGCAGGGTGGGAGGGAGGGAGACGCAAGGGGGAAGAGATATGGGAACATATGTATATGTATAGCTGATTCACTTTGTTATACAGCAGAAACTAACACACCATTGTAAAGCCATTATACTCCAATAAAGATGTTAAAAAATAAAATAAAATAAAATAACATCTGGCTTGTAGAGGGAAAAAAAAAAAAAAACCCTACCTAGGAAGAAACAAAGGCACAAGATGGAAGGACACTGGATCCCTGAGTCATCACTTGGATAAAAGCCTCCCAAGAGAACCATCCATCTTGGACAACTGAGTGGGCA